CTACCAACACTTTCTTCCTTTCATCATAAAATGCCATTTCAAATCGGTAACAATAAGCAACAACTCATTCATATCTCTTCCATTTTCTGATTTAAACTCTTCTCATTCATATCTATCTATGGCGGGTTTCTTCTCCCTTCTCAGGCGTGTCTACCTCACCGCCTACAATTTTACCCTCTTCGGTGGATGGTACTCACTCAATTTCTCATTTCAACCAGCATATTCCAGAAATTTCTCTTTTTTCGCTGTCAACCTCATTGTTTCTGCATGTAACTGCTCAAGTTTGTCGATCTGCACAGGTTTCTGGTTCTGTTTACTGTTCTGAAGACGCTGAAGGAATCGGGCCATGAAAACTTATACATTGCTGCCGAAAAACCTTTGCTTTTTTCCCAAACTGCAGCTGTTCTCGAGGTATCTTAGTTAAGAAAATAAGTGATTTTTGTTAACTCTGGAGACACCCTTTTGTTGTTGGATTGGAAAATGTTCAAGTTTTCTTGTGGGAATTAACCTGAGTTTCAACTTTTTTTCATGTGGTTTTTGGTGCGGCTTGCTAGATTCTTCATGGTTTGGTCGGTGAGTAAGCCTATGCTCATTGCAATTACGTAGGGTTGGGGAAAATGGGAATTTAGTATAGACCAAGTTTATATTAATTTCCTTATGTCATTGTTATGAATTTGTCGAATCAAAGAGACAATTGAGTATCACCATTTTTAATTTTCCAAAAAGTTCCGCCGCAAAATATTCTAAAAAGTCTATTTGGTGCATTGGCGAAGAAAACATTCATATGTCACAGAAAGTGATGGCAATAATAGAAAGAACTTGAACTTTGTTCATAAATCAATTAATGTTAGTATCTGTTTGTTTATGAACTTATTCTCCTTTTTTGTTTACCCGTGACAAAGGTCTCGTGCGGTCTCCAGTAACAGCAACCTTGCCGCAGATAGGTTCAAGGTTGTTCGTGGCTTGGGGCATTTTATGGAGTTTCCCCGAGGTCAGGACAAACTTGAACTTTTTTATTTTTATTTTGCTTCCTTTGATAAATCAATTCCACTTTCAACTATATTCTTTTATTGAAAATTTACATATATCTGTGAACGAAGACTCGGACTCATGTGCTCGTTACCTCCCTACTAATCAGCTGGTCCATCACCGAGGCAAGTTTTTCATGGTTGCTTTTATCATGTTGTTGTGTTTGTACTTGATCATGCCAGTTTCCATTTCCATCAGTCTGTTTATGGATTTTAAATTCATCCATCGTAGTGAAAGATGAGCCTGCAGATTTTCTGGGGATAAATGTCATTGTGAGAGTTGGCTCTTAAGAAAACGTATAATGTGTAGGATGTAGTCATAATGCAAAGGGAAAAAACTTAGAAGTGAGCACAAGAAAGTTAAGTTAAAATAGAACAATGCAGATATAGAGCCAAGCCATGATGCAAAGGCCACAGTTGATTGGAAGTAGTGACAGGTTTGGCAGAAAATGGCCGGAGACTCGGATTATTTGAATCAATGGAGAGCAGAGGCTGAGGATGGCCAAAACTATCACAGTTGTCAATAAAATGTTGGGAAATACCAGAAATGTTGCTGGAGAAGGGTAGGTGTTTATTGGATGGAGAAGAGCTGCAGCTACTTCATAACAGAGTGTGCACAAGTGATTGAGAAAATAGTGTTTCAGTTCTGATTCAAAGGAGGGGACCAAATCCCAAGTGGACCCTTCTAAAATTACAATGTTTCATATTTAAAATAGTGTTTTGCAATGTTCTCTGTTAGTTCTCACACTAGCTATGATTTTTTTGTCTGATATCATTGCTGTGGTCTCTTCATCCGTTTACTATAGTACACCGTTGCGGTGATACCCCTATGGAAGAACTTCGCGTCACACTTAAGCTATGCCCTTTCACACTCCTTTCTTGAATTTCTCGAAAGTTCATCATCTTTTGTATGGGAGCTGTCTTGGCCTTGGGAATGCCTTGTGGTACTGCTGTCACCATGTTTCATCCAAACTCTGCTTGGTATGTTTGCCAATGCTGAGGGAGGCTGAATAACTCACCAGACATATGCCATCGGTACAGTTCTCTCAATTGAGTTTCTATCTTCAGTTTTCTTTTTGATCTGCATAAACTGAGTTAGCACAGTTGCAAAAGTGCTCGATTTTTAAATGTATCTACGCCTTTAATCCATTAAAAAAATGCACTATGGGGTATTTCTCACGTGATTCAACAAATGTGGCAGTTACCTCAAACTGTCTTTGTTACTCTGTCATGCTTCCCCTTTGGCCAAAGGGAAATCATTTATTCGTAAGGCAATCTAGTTTGGCTATTATGAAATTGGTTTTTGCATTCAATTCCTCCCACTAATTTATGACTTGCTGTAATTCCTCCCCTTGGTACTACGGCTGATCAGGGAAACAGGATCCAATCAAACCCACAATATTTAGTTTGGATCAGTCTTGGTTACAGGTTAAAAAGTGAAAAAAATGGTCTAAAATGAATGTGGTCAGGCTCAAAATTTCTCTAATTTATTTTGTCAGTATCCAATCCCCTACTATTAGTAAGAAACTGCAAGTTTTGTGCTCAACATGATAACATGCTTAGGCTTTGAGTAAATTACACTGATTTCCCATTAGGTTTTTTGACATTGCACACCTTCCCTCTGTTTCTTTAATGCTTACAACAACCTTCCTTATAGGATGATATGCTGTAATATTTTTAAAACAATTAGGAGGTTGGTTTAATATATAAGGGGTGTCAATGTAATATTTTCTGAACACTTAAAGGGGTTAGTGCCGTGACGAAAAAAGGAGGAGCATTTGGGGTAATTCAACAAAACTCTAGGAGTATTAGTGTAATTTATTAGGCTTTTAAGATCATTTCACTTCAAAGTTCAGACTAACTCCTTATTATAGCCATGTGATATCTGGCTAGCTGAAACCTATACTATATAATTGGGGCCCAATATTTTGAAATAAGTTGCGCACAAAACCCCTTCTGAACAGTAAGTTCAGTCTGCAATTTAAGGCATAATTTGGGTGACTGCTAAAGAAGCCTTTTAGACTTGCACTTACAATTCTTCTTTTCCTTATGGTAAACATACCTTCTTGTAATCCATGGAAAAATAATTTATTGAAAAGGGAAGAGAACTATTAACAACAATCAATATTGATAATACTTTTTGCTGTTCTGTAATAATTGTAGATTATTCGCTATTCTTTCTTTTGCTTGAAAGAGGCATTTGGATCTTCCCCTTCATGGCTTTTGTGGCTCCGGTATGAAGTTGAATCTGGAATTCTGCATTTAATATGGTAATCATTCTCATATTCTTGACTTCCTGTTATATGAACTGCATGTTTTGTTCTGGCAGGTATAGCACCTTTGTAGTGCTATATCCAACAGGCATCAGCAGCGAAGTTGGTCTGATATACATTGCCTTGCCATTCATCAAGGTAAAAATTTAGAACAGCAAATGCCCACAATGCTTTTAGAATCCCATTGGTCTGGCTCTGTTTGTTCACCGGGAATGCATATTTTCTCTTTTGCCTTTATATTCACCAAGAGGAACTTACGAAGTTTGGTTTAGTCAAGAAGGAAAAAGCATTATCCTTTGAAATCTACGTTGCCCTCAAGTTTCGTGTTTATTGATGTTTTGAAACCTGAGCACCTGCTATATTTTGGGATTCCCAAAATGATAATGGAGAAATGAGAAAAAACTTGATAGTCTGTCTGTCACTCATGAATAAGATTGACTGAGACTATTTGATATGGTGTTTTTTCATTACCCAAGTTAAATAGCTCAGTATTTTTCAGGCATCAGTTAAGTACTGCATAAGGATGCCCAACAAATGGAACTTCTCATTCGATTACTTTTGTGCTGCTATTGTTGTGTTGGGAATCTATGTTCCAGGCATGAGCTCAACATCTTTCTCACCACTAATTTATGCTTTGACTAACGTTCCTCTCGTTAACCTTACAATCTTTTGCATGGCATCATAATTCTATGCAGGTAGCATACATCTGTATAGTTACATGCTTGCACAGAGGAAGAAAGCTCTATCAAAATCAAAGAAAGAGTAGAGTAGCATTTGTAGTGTGTTCATTTTGTTTGTTTTTTCCCAAACATAGGAAGGATATGGACATGTCTTTCTTCCTGTTCACATAAATTGTAGGTTATTTATCTTAAAGTCAAAACAATGGAGGAAGGGAAATGAAATGATTTGATTCTTTTGTGCTAAATTCCTAATTTCTGAAATGGCCATGCGCTAAATATTCACCAATAGCTCAAATGACCTTTGGATCAGAAATGACTCAACGTTAGGAAACAAGCAAGTTTTCAAAACAGTCTCTTTCTCTCCTTCCACGGAATGTCTATATTGAGAAATTCTAATTCAAAATTATTAAAATAAAAATATTTTCGGATAAAATATAGTTTTCATTTAATATGCATTGTCAATTTTTGTTTTTAATATAAATAATAAAAATTTATATAGTTTTCTTATAATAGCTGTAGTTTCGATTGAATTTCGATTATATCCATTAATTGTGTAGGTAATTGCTGACATATATAATGGTTCGTGAGAAATATCAGTACATGCATTTTATATAATGATATTGTTGATTGTCTTTTTTAGTATAATTGTAAAAAGATTAATGATTTTAATGTAATAAGTATAGTTTTTGTTTGAGTTTTACTCGTCTGCTGTTGCTGGAAAAGGGTAGGTGTTTATTGGATGGAGAAGAGCTGCAGCTACTTCATAACAGAGTGTGCACAAGTGATTGAGAAAATAGTGTTTCAGTTCTGATTCAAAGGAGGGGACCAAATCCCAAGTGGACCCTTCTAAAATTACAATGTTTCATATTTAAAATAGTGTTTTGCAATGTTCTCTGTTAGTTCTCACACTAGCTATGATTTTTTTGTCTGATATCATTGCTGTGGTCTCTTCATCCGTTTACTATAGTACACCGTTGCGGTGATACCCCTATGGAAGAACTTCGCGTCACACTTAAGCTATGCCCTTTCACACTCCTTTCTTGAATTTCTCGAAAGTTCATCATCTTTTGTATGGGAGCTGTCTTGGCCTTGGGAATGCCTTGTGGTACTGCTGTCACCATGTTTCATCCAAACTCTGCTTGGTATGTTTGCCAATGCTGAGGGAGGCTGAATAACTCACCAGACATATGCCATCGGTACAGTTCTCTCAATTGAGTTTCTATCTTCAGTTTTCTTTTTGATCTGCATAAACTGAGTTAGCACAGTTGCAAAAGTGCTCGATTTTTAAATGTATCTACGCCTTTAATCCATTAAAAAAATGCACTATGGGGTATTTCTCACGTGATTCAACAAATGTGGCAGTAACCTCAAACTGTCTTTGTTACTCTGTCATGCTTCCCCTTTGGCCAAAGGGAAATCATTTATTCGTAAGGCAATCTAGTTTGGCTATTATGAAATTGGTTTTTGCATTCAATTCCTCCCACTAATTTATGACTTGCTGTAATTCCTCCCCTTGGTACTACGGCTGATCAGGGAAACAGGATCCAATCAAACCCACAATATTTAGTTTGGATCAGTCTTGGTTACAGGTTAAAAAGTGAAAAAAATGGTCTAAAATGAATGTGGTCAGGCTCAAAATTTCTCTAATTTATTTTGTCAGTATCCAATCCCCTACTATTAGTAAGAAACTGCAAGTTTTGTGCTCAACATGATAACATGCTTAGGCTTTGAGTAAATTACACTAATTTCCCATTAGGTTTTTTGACATTGCACACCTTCCCTCTGTTTCTTTAATGCTTACAACAACCTTCCTTATAGGATGATATGCTGTAATATTTTTAAAACAATTAGGAGGTTGGTTTAATATATAAGGGGTGTCAATGTAATATTTTCTGAACACTTAAAGGGGTTAGTGCAGTGACGAAAAAAGGAGGAGCATTTGGGGTAATTCAACAAAACTCTAGGAGTATTAGTGTAATTTATTAGGCTTTTAAGATCATTTCACTTCAAAGTTCAGACTAACTCCTTATTATAGCCATGTGATATCTGGCTAGCTGAAACCTATACTATATAATTGGGGCCCAATATTTTGAAATAAGTTGCGCACAAAACCCCTTCTGAACAGTAAGTTCAGTCTGCAATTTAAGGCATAATTTGGGTGACTGCTAAAGAAGCCTTTTAGACTTGCACTTACAATTCTTCTTTTCCTTATGGTAAACATACCTTCTTGTAATCCATGGAAAAATAATTTATTGAAAAGGGAAGAGAACTATTAACAACAATCAATATTGATAATACTTTTTGCTGTACTGTAATAATTGTAGATTATACGCTATTCTTTCTTTTGCTTGAAAGAGGCATTTGGATCATCCCCTTCATGGCTTTTGTGGCTCAGGTATGAAGTTGAATCTGGAATTCTGCATTTAATATGGTAATCATTCTCATATTCTTGACTTCCTGTTATATGAACTGCATGTTTTGTTCTGGCAGGTATAGCACCTTTGTAGTGCTATATCCAACAGGCATCAGCAGCGAAGTTGGTCTGATATACATTGCCTTGCCATTCATCAAGGTAAAAATTTAGAACAGCAAATGCCCACAATGCTTTTAGAATCCCATTGGTCTGGCTCTGTTTGTTAACCGGGAATGCATATTTTCTCTTTTGCCTTTATATTCACCAAGAGGAACTTACGAAGTTTGGTTTAGTAAAGAAGGAAAAAGCATTATCCTTTGAAATCTACATTGCCCTCAAGTTTCGTGTTTATTGATGTTTTGAAACCTGAGCACCTGATATATTTTGGGATTCCCAAAATGATAATGGAGAAATGAGAAAAAACTTGATAGTCTGTCTGTCACTCATGAATAAGATTGACTGAGACTATTTGATATGGTGTTTTTTCATTACCCAAGTTAAAAAGCTCAGTATTTTTCAGGCATCAGTTAAGTACTGCATAAGGATGCCCAACAAATGGAACTTCTCATTCGATTACTTTTGTGCTGCTATTGTTGTGTTGGGAATCTATGTTCCAGGCATGAGCTCAACATCTTTCTCACCACTAATTTATGCTTTGACTAACGTTCCTCTAGTTAACCTTACAATCTTTTGCATGGCATCATAATTCTATGCAGGTAGCATACATCTGTATAGTTACATGCTTGCACAGAGGAAGAAAGCTCTATCAAAATCAAAGAAAGAGTAGAGTAGCATTTGTAGTGTGTTCATTTTGTTTGTTTTTTCCCAAACATAGGAAGGATATGGACATGTCTTTCTTCCTGTTCACATAAATTGTAGGTTATTTATCTTAAAGTCAAAACAATGGAGGAAGGGAAATGAAATGATTTGATTCTTTTGTGCTAAATTCCTAATTTCTGAAATGGCCATGCGCAAAATATTCACCAATAGCTCAAATGACCTTTGGATCAGAAATGACTCAACATTAGGAAACAAGCAAGTTTTCAAAACAGTCTCTTTCTCTCCTTCCACGGAATGTCTATATTGAGAAATTCTAATTCAAAATTATTAAAATAAAAATATTTTCGGATAAAATATAGTTTTCATTTAATATGCATTGTCAATTTTTGTTTTTAATATAAATAATAAAAATTTATATAGTTTTCTTATAATAGCTGTAGTTTCGATTGAATTTCGATTATATCCATTAATTGTGTAGGTAATTGCTGACATATATAATGGTTCGTGAGAAATATCAGTACATGCATTTTATATAATGATATTGTTGATTGTCTTTTTTAGTATAATTGTAAAAAGATTAATGATTTTAATGTAATAAGTATAGTTTTTGTTTGAGTTTTACTCGTCTGCTGTGCACATAAATATATATATATATATATATATATATATATATATATATATATATATATATATATATATATATATATATATATATATATATATATAAGGTTTTTTTTTTTTTTTTGCGTATATATTTATTTTTTAATTTTATTTTTTGAATAAATTAATTATTTTATTAGTTTAATGTTTTAAGAAATTTTTTTATTTAAATTTAATTATTTTTATGTGATTTTTTTTAAATTTAGTCATTTTTTATTATAAAACTACTTATAAAATAAGTAAAAATTATTTACAATAATATTATAAAATTTAGATTTTATTATCCTACCAAAAATACAAAAAAGTGATAATACACATGAAATGTATTTTTTAATTAATGATTTTAAAGATTATTTTTATAATTCAAAAGGGCTGACTAAAAGATTAACTACCATTGTTTGACAATAATTTAAAAAGTTAATTAATTGCTCATATTTTTTTCTCCCATGTTATTATCTAGTATGGTGTTTAAGGCAATAAATAGATCCAAATCAAATTCAAATAACATGATAATTATTGTATGTTAATCTCTTGTTAATGTATTAAAAATAAAATTAATAACACACACACATGCTTAAAGAATCTATTTGTAAGATTTTATTTAAAATGGATCACCCATTATGAATAGCGTCATCCACCCCTGCGACGTTTTTTTTTTAATTTCTCCCAATTTTTACAAGGTGTTATAACACTTTAACTTTTTTAAATTTACCAAGTATTTATTTTATTTTATTTTTATAGTCAAGAATTTTATTTAACGCCTAGATCTTATATTTCACATATATTATATTAACATGTTGTAATGGAGATATCTTATAACTCATGACTCTTGAACCTGACATTTTCTTATAAATGAATATTGTTTCTAATTAAATATGAAAAAAATTTCAATTATATTAGGATTGTTGAATAGAAAATACAAGTTAATTTAAATATTTAAACAAAAAGTCAAATACACATAAAAAAACATCAGATTTCCTGTTTCTTACGTAAAAAAACAACTTCACATTCTCACTTATTAAAAAATGTAACTTCACATTAATTAGGAAAAACAGTTAAATGCTTAAATTTTATTAATTTATTTTTTTATTTTAAAACAAATAATATATGTTATGATAATGTAACAGAATTCAGACATTAATTAAAGTTATAGTATTTTAATAAAAATGTCATTAAACAAAATATTAATAAATAAAATTTATGTATATGTAAACATAAATGTAATTATTTTTATTATAAATGAGAATGGAAATAATATGCAAATAATGAATCAACATTTGCTGAGGATAATATATGATTATTCTGTCTGGCTACAATACTTTATGATTTTTGTTGTAGTAAACGTTAATTATTTGTGATTTTTTTTATGAATTTTCTAAGCCCTACTATGAAAATTTTTAATACCGAAAAGGAAAATAATACTTTACACCTCCAAAAAAATAGACCTATTTGACATTCTCTTCAATAAAATAATAATATATGTTTAGATTTTTAAGATAAAATAGAATAAAAATGATTAAAATGTTACTATTTCAAGTTTTTTTGTGAAAATCATGATTGCGTTAACACTACTGACCTAACCTAGACAAGTTCTAAAACCAATGCCACACAATTATTCCAAAAGAGAAGAAAATAAAAAATATTAAAAACTAAAAATTCAATAATTTATCATATAGAAACAAGCCAAAAATTTATTAACAAAACCAAGAATAAAATCTTTGATAACCAATTTCCATTTTGAGAGATATTACACCAAGGAACTAAAGAACAATTCAACATATCTATGAAATCTATGAAATATATACAATGAGAAGAAAAAAAACATTTCACATCCAACAATTAAAAGAATAAGATAAAAATAAATTAAAACCAGACAAAATTAAAAACACATAAAAAAAGGAAAAGAACTTCACATCCCAAAAACTCTTTGATATCTATAAATATTAACTAAATAGTTTTTTTACGTGTATGCTATTAAATTAGGTTGTAATCCGACAGTCAACCTGATCTATTACAAGTTTGAGTTAAGTTGACTTTGAAAAAAATGTAATTTTTTTTATGCGGGTTAATTTTCAATCCGACTCATCCGGGTTGAACCCGTTATGAACCGGATTGAGTCACCAACCACCTAATTTAATTTAATTATTTATTATTTTGTGTTTCAATATTATTAGTTAGCATTTTTTATTATTATAAAAGATGCTTCAAGAGAAAAAAATATTATAGATTTATCTATTCAAAACTCCAATATTATATATGGACAAATGATCCAAAAATTATCAATATTAAAAACTTATTTGTTCGTCTTTGGTGCTTAATTTTGAATTACGTATGATATTTTTTATTTATTTGAATTATCTTTGGAGTTTAATATCATTTATTTAGATTTGAATAAAAAAATTATTTAAAAAAAGTTATAATTAAGTGAGCTAGTGAACCAACCCGTGATGGATCAGACTGAGTTTGAATTTTTTCAGCTCACTAATAAGTAAGTCAGGTTCGGTTGGCTCACTAAGTGACCAACTCGTGGTGGGTCACTAATAAGTGGGTCAAACCGAGTTACCCATTTTCAGAGCTTTACCTTTAATGTAAGAAAATGAATTTTGTTTTCAAGCACTCAATGAAAACATTAATTTCACAATATTTATAACTCAATGTAACAGTCTTGAACATCCACAATCCTAAAACGCTAATGATAGTAATCATTGTTTTGTTCAATGTAACAGTCTTGAACATCCACAATCATAAAACGCTAATGATAGTAATCATTGTTTTGTTCAATATAAAGGTTCACTTTTTTGAACATCTATCCATTTACCTATTATAAACATCCATACACAATTACATACTCAATTTCCTTGTGGAGAAAGCCATTATAATAGCACATGTAGAACAAATACAACATTTTACATTGAAAATGGAATTCAAGAAAGCCATCTTAGTAAGGTTTATTAGATATATTGTACACTTACTATCTGAGTATTATTGAATTATTGACAAATATCTAATCCTATATACAAAATATTCATATCTCGATACAAAGACAGTGTATTAGAATAATGTATTATTTAGAAATAAAAACAAATTTCATAATAAATAAATAAAACTTAATACCTCTTTTGGTTCAATACTTTTAATAATTGTTCAATTCTTTTTATTAATTTTTTTTAACTCAATGTGATCCTAATATACATTAAAATGCAGTCAAAATGTAATATTCCTTTTCATTATATCAATATTAACATAGTTAAAATATGATGACTTGAAACGTTAATTAACACATCTAACGTTAACATTCATATATCAAAACGATGTTGACTCCTAATAATTTAGTTTGATAAAAAAAATGGAAGAAAAACACTTAAAAATTCTTATAAATATTAGAAAAAACAGAAGTACTAAAGTCTATAAATAATGACAAGCATACATATAAACCAATTAATAAGAAAAAAATTGTACAAATCAAACTTTCTAATAAAATAACTAGAGAAATATCAAAATATTTGTTAAAATTCTATATATGCAACATTATACTATCACATAACACGAGATTCTTATACTTAGATATCTTATATCGATTTCCTCTACGTGTGTAAATATGCCAAACCACAAATCTATTCTCCATGCATAGCTTTGAGGATAACTGATATAAACTATCAAGGCTCTACTTGTTCTCAAACACCCTCACTACATGTACAGATATAATTTCTTTATCTAAAACGTCTAATAAGAAAATAAAAAAAAAATCGAGCAAGTTAAAATAAATCCACATTTGAGATTCTATTGCATTTATCATCTATCTTCTTCAGGCATTGATAGAAATTAAAATTTTAACCTATTCAAAGCATTACTATACATATTATTTTCTTCTATAAATACTTATAATAAGAGGCAGAGAAGCAAGGATTATGGTAGTAATTAAAAAAAGGCAATTAAAAACTTCACTAGGAGTTACTTTCAACATCATCTAAGTGCCCATTGGTCATTACAATTAACCACTAATATATACGACCACGGCAATAGAGTCACAATAACTAACGAAAATTCAGACCATGATATTGTCATTTTTGCTTCAGTTTTACCTCTTCAAACAGTTTCCCATCAACCTGAGTATGGCAGCCTGCAAGTAATTCATGAAAGATTAAACCAGATGAAGTAAATGAGAAACAAAACTTGATTTCTGAATGTTTGTGCTAAAATGAAGACTGACCCCAGTTTGAGGGACGTATCTGAGCTTTCATAGTCCTGCGGAGGTCCTGCAGAATTGCAAACGTAGGTGACAGACTCTGAAGACTGACCTTCATCCATAACAAAGTTCTCAGATCCGGCACCACCACGTCTTTGACCATTAACCATGCCCGCCACCTTTCGTGCAACACAATTACACAATATATACATTCTATGTTTCATGTTAAAATTAGAGACAAAATTTAAAAATAAATATCATACGTGATGTTTTAGTCGCTCGTTCTCTTCCATCAATACCATTCCCTGCAGGTTCACTTAAAGCTTTATTTGTCGACCAATGCAACATGATTAATCTGTGGAATGTTCAGTTTCTCACCTTTCTTTGGAGATCAGCTATCTCTTCCATAATTTTCTCTCCCTGAAAATCAAAAGGGTTTAATCAATTATATAAAGTCATTAAGGAAATTATTCAGGAGATAGATTTATGCATGCAAGACCTTCTTTTCTATCACACGCCCCAGTCCAGTTTCTAGAGACCTCTCCAGCTGTTGCAATTCATCTATGTTTAGACCCTGAAGATCCTCTCCTCTTAGCTGCCTGCATTTCTTTTTCCTTGTTATATATGTTTACATTTCAACAAACAAATTCATTTTCAATCACGAAATTCTCAGACTTTGTACCTTAGTTGATGGCTCTTCTCGGCAACTTCCTTGCTCAATCTGCTGCAGTTGCTGTTTTCAACCAGCTGAGTAATCATTTCAGAAATTAATGATTAATTGCCATTGAAGTTTTAAACCTTTGAAATAGTTTTATTCTGAAAATTTAACTCATTTTATCCCAACCCAACGTATCCAATCTCCTAAACATGGCGTCAGAATTAAGTGTGACAACACGCGATCATGAATTTACTTTCTCATGAAATTGTGGTGAATTCTGTAAGTAGTAGTTCAACACGAAAATGTAAGTACCACCAACCTGCAACTCGAGAGATGGCTGTTCCATCTTTGCTAGGTTCTTTGAGTGCAAATGATGCTTCTCAAGTATCTCCTTCATGCTTCATATGACAATGATATCAAAGTCACATCATGGATACATTAAAAACCACCAAGAAATTAAAGTAAACTTAAGATCAAACATCCACGTGACGTTGCATAAGACCAAACAAAACATGGTTGTGTTTGTTTGTTTTGGTTGTTTCTTTATTTACAGGCATAAAGAAAAATAGGCAACTCCCAGTTAAGAACACCAGTATCTGGAGAACACATTGTACTTGTCAAACTACCTATTTCAACAAGCATCACTTACAACAAGACTCAGCGTTCGATCCGTCAAGATCATAACTATCTTAGTTGAAACTATGCCAGGATCCTTCGAAAGGCTTTTCTAAGAACAACTTTTAAGCAACAAAAGCCAAATCCCTCTTAATATATCTCACCAATTCCTTTTTAAATCTAGTGAAACTCTAATTATCTTTTCATCTATATTTCTCACTTTTCGCAGCTATTACTAATAAATATTTTCATAATAACAACTTCTAAAAGAAAAAAATCAATTGCTCTATTTTTAAGTTGAAATTAATTTATTTACTAATTACAAAACTATATATAAAAACCTATGTAAGAAAATTTCTGTGAAATAGCTCTATTTAAATTTACCTGATGAAGAAACAACTTTTTTTTCTTTGAAAAGTTTCTTAAAAGAGAAACATTTCCAAATATATAACACTTTACGAGATCACTTCGTTTGATGAGTCAAGTCTTGTCAAATCATATCTAAACAACTCATTTATATTGTATTTAAAACTGTCATTTATGACTCATTACTTCTCTTACACCAACCAGCTTTTCTTAATTCCTAAATAAAAACTCTGTGCTCTACCTCCCATATTGTAAGCCTTGGAAGACGGAAAGTAATCAAAATGACAAGGTACATGTAGAGCAGCAGCTTTCATATAAGAACAGGTTAGTAAAAAAAAAAACCCACAGATTAGGCAAATCAATGTCACTTAACAAGGATAAGTTGGATAAGTTTATCCATAAATATTTTTAATAAAAAAAAATTATCAATTAAATTAACTTATTCTCACGTTAAAAAATAAAGATTTAATATTTTTTTATAAAATTAGTTCATAAATAAATTAATTTCAACCTTTTCTTTTTCTTACTCCTTTTTCTAATATGCTTGAGAACTTTGTTGGGGAAAAGGTGTTATTATTACCAACGCTAACACCGACCCAAAAGAAAGCCAAATTCAGCTTTCCAAGCACAATATAGAATATATAGTAGTTGTTGCATATTCAGTCAAACTATCCAAGTAACATTGATTAAGGTTTCTCAAGGAAAATTTTACAGGCTCCCTGTTGCAAATTTGCCTCTTATAAGATTAACTCAAAGAAAACCCATTATTTCTTCTTTCAGATTGTCTAAAAATGTAAAAGCAGATACACAAATCCAATTACTTGAAGCATAAAACCTTTTGAAAGCAGTAAGTCTCTAAATCATGAGTGAAAAAAATTAAGGCGCAAAACGAATGGTTGCTTATATCAGATATCATCATGATGATAATTACTGCCACAAACCAGGGCTAATTTGGCATGTACTATTTCATCAAGTTTCTGCATACTTTCATCTGGGATTGTTAATGGTGGCTAATTCATTTTCCAAAGAGTTAAGCCCACAAATGTCACATGGATAACCCAGGGGATTGCAGTGACTCATCATTCTCTTTTCTCACAAAGAGTTTTTATATTACTATCTCAACAACACTAAAAATTCAAAACAGCTACAAGTTGACGCATCAAAGAAGCAATATGATTGGATAATCTTGAATAAGTAAGAAAAATGTGTGCAATCTTATATTAGCTCAAAAAGATGACAAAAAGTGTAACAGTTACACACATCCATACTTCTACTGACAAAAACAAGCTTTTCATCTCATCAGTGTGTTTCTATAAACGACTTGATTTCAGGAAAAATAAAAATTGTTTTTAACACAGCAAATAACTTTGGTTTTATCCAAGCAATGTGTTTTCATGCATTGTAATCAGAAAGAACAGGTAATATTATAAATTTGTTTCCTAATCAGAATTAAACTTATAATCTCAGCAATTTACCAAAGGAAATATTTCATCAGATATCGTCATTTAAAGTTAATATTTGAATTGGAGAACAACGTCTATGAAGTACTGAGTAAATAATCATCATCATTTTCTTTCCCAGCCACATATATGCAGCACATAATTAAAAATTTAATTATAAAAAGAAAAATAACAATGATTGGCCTTGTTTGATAAAGACGACAGAAATAGAGAGAATGGAAGAGAAAAGAAAATAGAGAAGGGAAAAATGAGTGAAGATAGAAATGGTTTGATTGAAAAAAATAATGGAGAAGAAAGAAAATAAAGAAAATAGAAAGAAAGATTATTTCATTAAATAATAAAAAATATGAATATATTTATTGCTATTATTTATTATTAATATTTTCTATTATTATTACTATAAAAAATTGTAAATAATTCTTTAAGATCATTCCAGAATATTTTTTTTCAAACAAATTCTTCCAATATCATTGTGGTAAACTATGTAGCGAAAAAAAATAGGTGAAAGTGCACAATAAGGTGTCTTTTTCTATTTTTCTCATGAGTTCACCGAGGAAACAAAAGAGGAGGTTGCCACACATTTCATTGCAAATCAGCTCTAATCACCTTGCCCAAATTCATCCACTCAAGTTCATCCATTTCTTTCAGTTCATAGATGCTTCATGTATTATAGTTAAAACTATGGTAAGTAATCGGTACAATCTGATAAATTTTTATACCTAAAACTCTACAACAAGAAAGCAAAGGAGGAATGGTCAACAAAAAACAGACAATAGAAATGAACAGTGGGTACTGAGCTTCAAGCACAATGCACACAAATGTCTCAGAAGCAATTAAATAACACAAGACAACCATGAAGGCCGAACAAGTATATCAGAAGTCAGAACTCTCATAACTCAACTTCCAAAACACTGTCATGTTCATTAAAATGAAAACTCACCATCTATACCAGCCGAACCAGTATATACATGGTTGGTGTACGCAAGAATGACTTCATGTAGCTAGCTAAGTTCTGAAAAACTCTCAATATAGATATAGATCTTATCTTCACCTCCCCAACCCAAAACCCATAAACTCTTTTCAGACATAAACAGTGAGAAAAGAAAGAGAAGCTGAAGAAAAGAAAGACCTGGAGCTTGAGTACTCAAAGAGTTTCCCAGTAGAAGAGAAGATTATGAGGGCAACATCAGCATCACAGAGAACGGAAAGCTCCTCGGCTTTCTTGAAGAGCCCTCTGCGACGCTTGGAGAACGTAACCTGCCTGGCGGTGGCGTTGTCGATCTTCCTAATCTGAATCTTCTCCCTCGCCATATATACCCTTCACCTTAATCTATCCTCTTTTGGATAAACAAGAAAAACAGAAAAAGAAAGCAAACAGCTTTAGCCTCTTGAATTAACCGGGTGAGCGAAGTACATGGAGTGAGTAAGTGATACGCATAAGGAACCGACATACAATGAAAGAAACCGACCTAAAAAAGCAAGGAGGGCTGAATCGTTGACTATTTATGGAGTGTCTTTTGAAAAGCAAAAGCAAAAGAGTGTGGTTTTGTTTAGTGTGAGAGGGACATGTGATGATGCACAGGAGAGAAGTTAATATGCAGGTGTTAACTAAATTTAGCTTTTGTGAAATCAAAGCTTGGTAGCAGATCGTGGAAGAAGGTATCTGCAAGGGTGGATTTTAGTTTTGTTTATTTTTGTGGAGTGGTGTTGGTGATGGATGGTGTGTGGTTGGGTGTTGTTGTTGAGGTTGAGAGTTTAGCTGAGTAAGGAATTTGTCGCTGGATGTACTTGTGGATTTTACTTTCCTTATTCGGGGGAAGGCGTTGATATCAGGAATGTTGGTTTTGGTGTTGTTTGGTTTGGCTTGTTTGATGGTTCCAGCTTTGAGATGAAAGCCACCAATGAGAGAAAGAGAGAGAGCGTGTGGAAGTGTGGAAAAGGTATACCCTTTTATGGTGAAACACTGTTCCCAACTCTTCTCCCAAAGAGTGCAAGTTTGTCACTAATTGATTTACTGGTGTAGAATAAATTCATGGAATGAACTGAGCTTCCTTTTCAAGATATTTTTTCTTCCTAAATCCATTTTTAATGGCCAACTAGTTCGCTCGTGAAAATCAAAGTAAACTGCCTCATTTCAATTCTAAGAGACAAACGTCGTATTCCGTGCCTAATGTTTACACAATTTGTATTTATATATTATCTGCAAAATTCAAAATCATGTTAATTCCTTTTTTATTAGTAATACTTTTATGTATCTTTTCATTTTTAAATAATTTACTCCTATAGATATTGTTTAGGGTGAAGAAAAAAATAACAATATGGAAATTTATTTTACTAAAAATAAAAAACTATTATATTCAATAGACAGCCTTAGAAAGATAAATAAATAAAAATATACTTCACACCCGAAGCTGAAAGACACCTATTAATAAATTACAAAAAACATAAAAATATCTTTTACTCTTCAAATGCATTCTTCATTTTAATTAGAATTATATGTTTCTTTAAACGTGATTAGTTTGTGTGTTTATAAATCAAATTACATTTAAACCATAAAGTATAGATATATGAAACAAAGTATAGTTAAATATACTTTGGGTGATAATTTTCACTCATCGTTTGATATGTTTCTTATTAATACCACATAGTTTGGAAAATTTTAACATGACTTAATGGTGTTAAAATATCTAAATCATTGATATTACCTTAGAATATCAATATCTTTTCTTTTATTATAAAATTTATTATTTTGTTCTCTAAGATATTATCTTTTTTTAAAAAAACAAAGTGTACTACTCAATAACTCAAATCAATTAATTACAAACAATAAATATATAAAATAAATCACTTTATTTAAATATTTTCACTTATTTATAATATTTTGAAAATTTATACTTAATCACTTGTGAATGATAAAATTTATTTTTGAAATTTTTAATTTATTTAGTTTTAAGTATGAAAACTAACTTCAAACATTTAAAAAAGTAGTTTAATCAGTGTATTAAAAGTACTATAGGAGCAAGAGACTGGTTAAAATTTAAGAATTTTCTTTTAAATCTAATACATCCTAATATTAAAAGTAAAGCACAAATTATTATATTGTCACTTGAATACCTTGTAAAATAATTGTAATATCATTGAAATATAAATAAAATAGTCATGATAAAAGTTGATGTTTGAAGGTAAAGGCTGAAATGAACGTTTAATATATAGAAGTTCAAGGGTCTCAACATTGTCTTTCGGTGCAAGTCTATTATAATTGTTCATCCAAGTCGTTTGGAGGATATATGTAAAATGTACTTTGATGTGAAAGTCAAGTTAACGTTTGATAGTTCATATATTAATGACACAATAAATGCAATCACATACCTTTACTAGTGCAGAAAAGGTCTTTAACGTCACTCTTTAGACGTTTGATCCTCGAATATCCAACGTAAAAAATGACTGGTGGCATTTTTCGTAAATAAAACAACCATATAGACGTCCGTTCCCGACAAGAACAGACGTCTAAAGCCATATAGACGTCTGATGTGGGCGAACAGACTTCTATATATATTTTTGAAATCTAAAAAGTCACTTTTTAACTCCATTTAGACGTCAGATCCCACCAATCCGACTTCTACATCCATATAGACGTCCGATATGGACGGAACCAACTTCTATATACTCATTTTTTAAATCTAAAATGTCACTTTTTAACTCTATTTAGACGTTAGATCCTGCCAATCCGACTTCTACAGCCATATAGACGTCCGATGTGGGGAAAACTGACTTCTATATACTCATTTTTGAAATCTAAAAAGTTACTTTTTAACTCCATTTAGACGTCAGATCCCGCCAATCCGACTTCTATAGCTATATAAACGTCCGATGTGGGGGGAACCGACTTCTATATACTCATTTTTGAAATCTAAAAAGTCACTTTTTAACTCCATTTAGACGTCAGATCCCGTCAATCCGACTTCTACAGCCATATAGACGTTCGATGTAGGGGGAACCGACTTCTATATACTCATTTTTGAAATCTAAAAAGTCACTTTTTAACTACATTTAGACGTGAGATCCCGCCAATCCGACTTCTACAGCCATATAAACGTCCGATGTGGGCGAAACCGACTTTTATATACTCATTTTTTAAATCTAAAAAGTCACTTTTTAACTCCGTTTAGACATCAGATCCCGCCAATCCGACTTCTAAAGTCATACAGACGTCTGATGTGGGGGGAACCGACTTCTATATGGATGCATAAAACACCGCGAACACGAGGCAACAATTACATGCACTTGATGTTCATCATCTTCCTCGTGTTTTCTCTATACGGGTTACGCTTTTCAGGTTTGTTTTCTCACTTTTGCACCGTTTTAAATTAATTTTACTCTGATTACATCACTCTTTCATGCATTATCTTTCATTTGAACCGATTAAAATGCATTTTGGTTGGATTTTGGTGCAGTTTAGCTCGTGTCCTTGGGCGGCGTTCTTGGGCAGCGATTTCTTGCGTTTTGCACTCTCTAATTCTCTCCAGTACATTTTTAAAACCATCCAATACAAAAAAACGTACAGTACATTCTCTTCAACTAAAATATAAAGTTGTGAACTCAGCATGAGACAGGAGCAACCCAAGAGGCCTCAAGCGGAAAAAGATCCAATCAAATACAACGATGTTTTAAACGTCTAATCTATGGGTGTTGCTCTCTCCACCACCACACCTTTCTCCCTCTACCTCTCCTTTACTATTTTGTCCCTCAGTAAAATTTTATTTTTAGGGTTATTATTTTTTAATTTTACCCATTCACAACCTATTTCACTAATAACCTATTCTAGTCTCGTACATGAGTAAAATACTTTTCTTTCATTTTAACATTATATTTCTTCCTCTCTTTCTTTCGTCATTGTGAGATACTACAAGTTGCAAAGGTTGGTGGTGGTGGAAAGAATTATCAAGAAGTCTCCCTCTCATGGTGCAGTGTCGCTCTCGTGGTGCAGTGCATGGAGTGGTGCAGTGAATGTCGTGCTTCCTCGTATTCGAATAAACCTTGAAATAAAACCCTAAAATAAAAAACGTAAACGGAGGTGACATCCTTCAACGGATGTCAACATCCTTCAACGGATGTCAACATCCGTTTAAGGAAAAATGGATGTCAACATCCGTTTAAGGAAAAACGGATGTCGACATCCGTTTTACCTTAAACGAATGTTGACATCCGTTGAAGATGTCACCTCCGTTTAAAGGTTACGTTTTTTTATTTTAGAGTTTGTTTTATTAGGGGACATCCGTTGAAGGATGTCACCTTCATTGATGTATACTTCCTCACGCTGGTTGACGCTCTGGACGCTCCTCGATGTTCCTCCACACCACGGCGACGACGCTCCTTCACACCACGACGGCAATGGAAGCTTTCAAACCAAAAAAAAATTGGGAAGAAAAAGGATTGGAAGTGCGGGAGGTGGGGAGGTGAAACGAAAATGGGGAAAGGGAAAGAGAGTTCCGTGGGTGGGTGCTAGGAAAGTAAAATTAGGGTTTCAAATTATTTAAAATAGGGTAAAAGTAAAAAACTTTTTAGCTTAAGGATATAATTGTTATAATTGTATTTAAAATAATGTGGGGAGGTGGAGGAAGTATAGGGTGGTGGTGGAGGGAGCAACACCCCTAATCTATAGTGTCAAACGTCTATATAGACGTCTGACCTGTATGGATCGGATGTCTATATAAACGTCTAACCTATTGGGTCAGACGTTTCATTAACGTCACCCATATAGACGTCGAACAGATATCAGACGTTAAAAGCCCAAAATAACAGACGTCTAAAGCCCTTTATACACTAGTGCTTCCTATCTCAAACCTATGTTTATATATTTCGAAGTGAGTTTTTGATAAGCGACCTAATTGCGGTCTAATTAATTGGTGGTAATCACATTTTATCTTAAGTTAGTCAACATTAGACTAAAAATACATAGTGGGAAAACATATTTCACTTGACATTTTTTAGTATTTTTTTTTTGTTTTTAAAATACTAGTTTTAGTTTTGTATCTCTTTTAGTCCATCCATTTATCAAGATCCATAGTATTTTATCAAGGAAAAAAAAAGTCCTTTAATTTTTTTAATGAATATCATCTTTATAGGTTAAACTATTTTTTCATACATGCTAAGTTATAATTTTTTAAAAATATACTATTATTAACAATCGATACTCTCATCATTGTTTTATTGATGAAGACCATACACCTAAACATGAGGTGCTAAAAAAGTATTAATTCAATTAAATTTAAAAAAAAATTAAATATGTTTGTAATATCTAATCTTATTTGTGAACGTTTCAAACTTTGATACATTTTGGTTTCAAAATTTAAAAAATGAATGGATATAATTCTCTTAATTCAACAATGTTAAATTTCTTACTTATTAAGCATCATTATAGTTAACATTTGAGTTGGAAAGTATCAAACAAGGTAAATAACTTAAATGTCAATCTTTGAAATGTCATTTGACATGTAAAAGAACTTAACACGATTGAGTTAGAAGGACTACATTTATTATTTTTTAAGTTTAAAAATCAAACTATATTAAAATTTGAAACAAAAACGAATTTTAAGTTTATAAAATTGAAAATGTATTTTATTAAAAAAAAAGGGTTAAATATGTTTTTAGTCCCTAAACTATTGGTCGTTTTTGGTTTTCGTCCCTCTTTCAAAGTAAGGTACAAATTGGTCCTCATTCTTTTCGAAACGTTCGTTTTAGTCCTCGGAATTTTGGTTTTAGTCCTAATTTGTTGCTAAATGAGGACCAAATTTTTAAACAGTGTTTAGTTTTCGAGGACTAAAACGAACGTTTCGAAAAGAATGAGGACCAAATTGTACCTTACTTTGAAACAGGGACGAAAACCAGAAACGACCAATAGTTTAGGGACTAAAAACATATTTAACCCAAAAAAAAAATAGAACTGAAGTTAGCGTCATAAGTTAATAGATATTAAAAAAA